AGAACCAACCCCTCCTATCATAAATAGGTATTCTGTACCCATAAACTCCATACACACCATACCACCACCCGCTCTCTTCATTACAGCATCACTGGTTGGTATTATATTACTCCATTCATATGTTAGACTGTTAAATGAGTTGACGTCATTATGAAAGCAGAGGTCGTGTCCACAGTCACCGCCAAAAAAGAAGATTTCATTGTTTCTGGTAGTACAAAAGTATCCTATAGGTCCTAGAGGAGGTGACGTTCCTCTGGTCACATGAGAGGACCAACGACCAGTCCTAAACTCCAGTCTATTAATGGTGAACAACAATTTTTTCTTTTGTGGGGAATCATGAACAAGAGGTAAGTCAGGCCTTTCCCCTCCCCACAGGAACACTGATTCTCCTACTACAGGAGCTGAGTGATGAGATATCCCTCCCAGTTGATAGATACCTGTAAAATACAAATTGAACATGATGACTGAGAAAGAGGATGAAGAAAACAGAAACGGACCTTTAGACATTGTGCCTAAGTTTAGAGCCGGTTGATTAAACAAGTAGCCACACCCAAACAATTTCTTTTAGAATTTAGATCTATGACTCGTTTGCAAGGTTCTAAAGATATGATGTCTCTTTCTTCCTTCAATCCCTCTCCTCCCCTTCTAGTGCATTTGGCATTTTCAATCACGTATCTTTTAACTCCTCATCTGTCACTAGACCTTCTCCTCATAGCCTAACACATACCTAGATAGTCTATATACTCAGTACTCCATCACGTCCGATCATGTCATATATGGCCAGTTATAGGGAACCACAACTTAAATTTAGATGGTAAAAACCAAGTTTTGTGGGTTTGTAAGGTTTTGATAATTCAGAGCAAGTGTTGAGGGCATCAACTCACCAAAAAGAGGCCTATGAGTACAACTGACATTGTAAGAAATATTTCCCATTTTAAAATTGGTTCCAACAATGTAGTAAGTAACTTGCTATGGTTTATTACTGCATAACAGAAAAATAATGGGTTTTTTAAGGATCTAAGGCGAACTGAGTAAACTGGTATTGAGTATATGGGTTTTGAGGTTTTGATGGTTTTGATGGTTTTGAAGGAGTATTAGATATGTGTAGTGTACACTGATATTGAGTGTATGGGTTTTGAGGTTTTGATGGTTTTGAAGGACAATGTGTAGTGTACACTGGTATGAATGTATAGGTTTTGAGGTTTTGATGGTTTTGATGGTTTTGAAAGATTATGGGTAGCGTACACTGGTATTGAGGGTATGGGTTTTGAGGTTTTGATGGTTTTGATGGTTTTGAAGGACTGTGAGTACCATACACTGGTATTGAGGGTATGGGTTTTGAAGTTTTGATGGTTTTGATGGTTTTGAAGGATTATGGGTACCGTACACTGGTATTGAGGGTATGGGTTTTGAGGTTTTGATGGTTTTGATGGTTTTGAAGGACTGTGAGTACCGTACACTGGTATTGAGGGTATAGGTTTTGAGGTTTTGATGGTTTTGATGGTTTTGAAGGACTGTGAGTACTGTACACGGGTATTGAGGGTATGGGTTTTGAGGTTTTGATGGTTTTGATGGCTTTGAAAGATTATGGGTAGCGTACACTGGTATTGAGGGTATGGGTTTTGAGGTTTTGATGGTTTTGATGGCTTTGAAAGATTATGGGTAGCGTACACTGGTATTGAGGGTATGGGTTTTGAGGTTTTGATGGTTTTGAAGGTTTTGAAAGATTATGGGTACCGTACACTGGTATTGAGGGTATGGGTTTTGAGGTTTTGATGGTTTTGATGGTTTTGAAAGATTATGGGTACCGTACACTGGTATTGAGGGTATGGGTTTTGAGGTTTTGATGGTTTTGATGGTTTTGAAGGACTGTGAGCACCGTACACTGGTATTGAGGGTATGGGTTTTGAGGTTTTGATGGTTTTGATGGTTTTGAAGGACTGTGAGTACCATACACTGGTATTGAGGGTATGGGTTTTGAAGTTTTGATGGTTTTGATGGTTTTGAAGGATTATGGGTACCGTACACTGGTATTGAGGGTATGGGTTTTGAGGTTTTGATGGTTTTGATGGTTTTGAAGGACTGTGAGTACCGTACACTGGTATTGAGGGTATAGGTTTTGAGGTTTTGATGGTTTTGATGGTTTTGAAGGACTGTGAGTACTGTACAC